TCCTGAGGGGCGTGGATCTAAACACCGAGGATCAAATTACTTCAGGGCAGGATGTCAGGAATGGCTGAGGATCAGGGGAACTTCCTGCCCAGGAACCCAAGTCAGAACTTGTCACAGGGCTCAAAACCTCATTGTATGAGTGAGGGGTTCTGGAACTTTCTCCAGTCCTGGGGATCTCCCCATCCTGGGCCTGCAGAACCTCACTGCCCCTGAAGAGAGTCCCAACCAGGCCCCACACAGCCTTCTACTCTCCTGGCACTAAAGGGTACCCACAAAGCCCACCACACTGTGGAGAACAGGTCTGCTGGCCTTGGTGCAGGTAGGGGTTGGGAGAGCTGCATGTTGCTGTGTCTACACAGCAGATCAAAGACCCAGCAGCCAGTGTGGCCAGTCACTGGACTTTGGTGCTCACTGGTGTTAGGACTGGATGATTCCAGGTCACGTAGCCACAGCCTCATAGTCCAGGGCTGGCATATTTGTGCTACCCCAACTCCCTTTCCCTTGCCCTGTCACATCTCATCAGTGTTGGTGGGATGGTCACTGGTGACTTTTGTCATGCCAGAGGAACCCTTTCAAGGACATGTGGTAGCTGAGGGCTATGACCAGGAAGGTCACTTCTAGTCAGGCTGAAGGATACCATTTTCCTGCTGCCTGCTGTCCTTCCTGATGACAGGGGGCCTGGCCCGGACTCCCCAATTAGGAGCTATGTCCTCTCTCCATCTTGGTGGCACCAGAGGGACCAGCTACTAGATCCGCCTCAAGGTGCCTCGCAGCTCCCACCCTTCCTAGGACTCTGGGTATTAGGGTCTGGGACTACTCCAGTTTGTAGGTTCCAGCCATTTCACTGTCTCATTTCTCATAGGGGTGCCAGCACCTCTTGTAGTCACCCTTCTTGCAATCCTGTTCCCAAGTGTTGCCTTAACCCTTCTGATGAAATCTTACCTGTTGGGATATACGATGTGTGATAGAATCTATACCAGACTAATGTTCAGGCCCTGATACCTGTTGCAGCCTTATCTTCTCTCTAGCATTGTAGCTCTTGGAAAGCCCTCTACTGACAGCCTGCCAGAGTCTGTACCTTCCTAACAGACTCCTTATGTGCCTGGATTTCTCACTTCCCCAAGTGAGGTTGTAAGACTGGGGCTAGTAAAGGGCTACAAGTGGTGACAAATCCCCCTTTCCCACCTATACTGTGTCCTACTGGGGAATCAGAGCTAGCCTGACTACCTAAAGCCTTCCCACTTCTCTGAGATCTATTAGAAGCAACCTCCCACTTTGCTTTGCTAACCTGAATCCTCATCTGACACCCCCTCCCCCCATGATGTTTATGGCACTGGGCCTTGAACTCTCTTTAGAACCTCTGCCATGATGCTGTCTACCTGTTTGCTTATGTTATTAGCTCTTCCAATACACTTATTTAAAAAATTATCTGTCTCAGCATCTCTCTTGAACCCCCAACCAGAGAACTTTCACTGTGACTTCCATCTTCCCGTTGAGTGTTTCTGCCAGGCTTCAGGCTCAGAGGTAGTATGGAGCAGAGCAGGACAGGAGGACTTTGGTTTTGGGGACGGGGATTTTGGAACCTGTGTGTACTGCTTTCTGTTGGATCCTGAAATGCTGTTTTTGTGTGTACTGTGGGACAAACCCCTCACCAAGGCCCATCTCACACTGCCCCTGGTACAACCCTGAGGGCAGAGTTTAAATTGATGGCAAGCAGCTCACTGTCTTGTTGCCTTCCAACCATGGGGGAAATAAATGGGAAATGTTGAGATTGTAATTGACAATTACTGTTGTAACATGATTACAACATGATGTGGTTTAGAGGCTGACGATTTTTGTGTAAGTTCTTTTTTGCAAATTTAAAATCTTTATTTTATTTAAAAATTGTATAAGTGTTTTTCTTGCATGTTATACGAATGCATCACGTTTTTAAATTTTTATTTTTTTTGTGTGTACGAATGTATTGCCTGCATGTGTGTAAGTGCACCTGTGTCGTGCAATGCCCTTGGAGATCAGAAGAAGGCATCGGAACCCCTAGAACTAGAGTTACAGATGGTTGTTAGCTGCTATGTGGGTGCTGGGAATTGAACCTGGTCCTCTGCAAGAGCAGCTAGTGTTACTGACCGCAAAGCCATCTCTCCAGCTCCATGCATCACATTTGTGCAATGTCCGTGGAAGCTAGAAGAGGATGTGAGATCCCCTGGGACTTACAGACAGTTGTTAGCTGCCTTGTGGGTGCTGGGGACCGAACCTATGTCCTCTGCAAGAGCAGCCTGTGCTCTTGATTTCTGAGTCATCGCTCCCAGCCCCATTGTGTAACTTTTTTATTTTTTTGTATTTTTGAGGCAGGGTCTCCCTGTAGCCTTCGGCTGGCCTGGAACTCACGATATAGACCAGGCTGGCCTTGAACTGACAGAGATCCACCTGCGTCTGCTTCCTGTATGCTGGGATTAAAGGGGTACTCCACCATGCTTGGCCCATAACTTTTTTGAATAGTTAGCAAAATTTAACACACATACCTGTGTTTACTATGGACTCACAATATTCCTGAAGTCAAACACTTTGCTCCAGGACCTTTACCCAGCCATGGCAGAGATTGTCCTGCAACTTAATAGCCATATCAAACTTTGTGGCCATTCTGTTATCTTCAGTCACTGGAACCTATTTTCCTCTCCTGATGGCCTTGGTGAATTGTGAAAGCTTTGCCACACCCAAACCTCCACATGCATTCAATCCTTAGCCTCATCTCCCCACACACAAAGGGTGGCTTTGCCCTGCAGGTGGTAATGTCACCCCTTGTTGGGGTTTTCAAGCTGCCCCTGAGTGATTTGGAGAGAGGTTCCTTTCTTGTCCAATGGGTCTCACTCCTTAAGAGGCAGGCTCTGAACTGATTCTTCTCAGACATCTGGTCAGCACCAGAGGTCATCAGAGGGACAAACATTGGCCCTGAACTACTGGGTGACAGAAGGTTTGGGTTAGTCTTAAGCACTATCCAGGATGGACAACTTCTGTCCCTGATGCATAGTTACTGGACATTGACCTACTAGATCTGTCATGACAGTACTCATGGTACACTGTGGTCCTTTGCTGGTCCATGTCCATCTAAAGAGATGGAATCCAAAAGGCTGCATTCTCCAGTCTAATACCCACTCTACCTAGCATCCAGCTCCAACTGGGCTCCTAGTGGTGAATCTGCAGCAGCATACTGTCCTCTTCCAGAGCTGCATTGTCTTGCAGAGCCAGAAAGGTAAACGAAATGGGGTATGGGGTGGGCAAACACACTGCACCCAGCAGGCTCTGAGAGGGTTGGGACATTGCTCTGCTGCCCTCTCAGATGAGACACCGCTTTGTTTACTATTTGGCTGTGTACAGGTAGTGGGGAGCAACTCAGAGACTTCCTACCCACTGACCAAACTAAGATGGCCTTACTCTGAATGCTACCAAGTCAGTGGGGTTATACCAACTTCCGTTGTTTCAACTCCAGTCCCACATTCAAGGGAGTGGAAAGTGAACATTGGGAGCCTCCTTGGCTGAGCAGCCCCACTGTAGATTCACTCATGGGCTGTGGTATGTGGACAAGAAGTCAAGATGGTGTGTCTGGAGATCATGGCCTGGCTCCTGTGCCCAGCAGTGTCTGATGTGTCTGAGGTTCCTGTGCTCTCAGAAGAGTTTACCAAGCACTGTTCACATGCACCATTGGGAAGGACTGGAGTGAGGCACATCCCTGGCCATAGGGCAACCCTGCCCCTTGTCCTGAAGACTCTACCTTCATTAGGTCATGGGCCAGAGTCTGAGGCTGAGCACTCTGAAGGCCCAAGTCATGAGTTTTAGTTGTATTACCCCATTGGGGCTCCAAAATTCATGCTCCTTTGCTGGTTCAAACTGAGCATTCTTGGTTTCTCCCTATACCTCACTCTGGCTGAGCCAGTCTCCTCCAGTATGATAACACTCCCACTGAACTCTTGTGAGGAGCTATGTCCCCTCCATCTTGGCAGCACTGTAGGGACCAGGCTATCAGACAGGTCTCAAGATATCTCGCAGCACCCTCCCTTCTTAGAGCTCTGGGTCTTGGAGTCGGGCTCTGTCTTCATAGCCATTAGGGTCCCCGTCTCCCCAACACACACGCCCAGGTCCCAAAGAAGTGATGGGATCTATACTGGCTCTGCTCGTAGGATCACAATAGGCTTCTGGGCCTCATAATTTATCCCTGAGCACGGGACTGGAACCCCTGCACCGACACGGGGAGACAGCGCCACTTGGAGGTTCTAGAGGGCTTGAAAATTTGGGGGTCCTCAAGTGAAGTGGAAAAGTGGGCGACGCGGCTGCTCCAGAAGAGGAGTTTCCGGCAGTGACTGATGGGGTAGGACCAGCCCTTCCCGGACACGCCCTGCTCACTGCTGCAGCTAGAGAAAGATCCTTCCTAGTTACGGACAGCCGCCATGAGGGGGCGCCCGCGGGCCGACCGGCTTCGAGGTTGGCTGAGAGGACTGTGCTCCTGCAAGCTGTCCCTGAGCCCTGGAGTTGGCCCCACATGTGAGGGCGGCCGGGGGCGGGAGGGGAGGGGGGAAGGCATCCTGGGACCGGAAATTAACCCAAGCGAAGCTGTGGGAGGCAGTTACGCAGAGGAAGAGGGGATGAAGCCCATTTTCCACCGCATCTAGTAGGTTCAGGAGCTCAGAGACGTCGCGGAATTTTGGGCAAAGTATCTGTGTAGATTTCTTTCCCCTTAGAGACAAGGACCAGAAGTTGGTCCTCCACTCTAGGACTAATGACTCCCTGTGTCAGGTGTTGTGGGGGCATGGGGATAGGGATCAGCAATGTTCAGCTCCACCCTGCCTGGAGAGGCCAAATAACCTGGAAGGAGTGTGACAGAACCCAGGGTGATGGTAGCTGCTGCCCACAGCAGGAGGCCAGAAAATCTCCCAAGTTGGAGATGCCCTGCCACCTCAGATGGGGGAGGATGAGTGACCTCAGTACAAGACCAGTCAGGGGAAAGGGAGTTACAGCCAGGGTTGCTACCACATGCACTTTATTGAATTCACTGCAGAGATGCATACGTGTAATATCAGCACAGGGGTCAGGTCCGCAGCTCAGGTGAGGGGCAGCCATGGATGCAAGAATCTCAGTACCTAAGGGTTTTAAGGAATGCCATCGTGGTAATGGCGACAACAATGATGACGACAATGGTCATAATGATGTTGAGGACCAGGGCGCTGATGTTCAGGCACTTGGCAGTAGAGGCATAGGCCTGGGCCCCAGTCATATCGCCCACCATCTTCCTGTCCCTAGACTGGGAGAAACCAGATGGTCAGGGGCCCTGCAGCTGGTCACCTGAGAGTCAGGCACTCTGATTCAGTTTCCCCATCATCCTCTCTGCCCACTGAAGCCTCCCTCCTTTAGGGCAGGGGCCCTTTTCCCCTTTCACACACTCAGACTAACCAGGAGGCCCTGGCATTGGCTGCTCATCCCACCATGGGTCATGGTTTCCTGTGAGTCCCCTGGACACTTTCCACACAGCTTGGGGTCCAGTCTGTGGGGTGAAAGGGCATCCCAGGAACTGGAGTAGGAAGAATTTCTCTAGGCTGGAGTGGGGACAATCTGATCCCATGTACCCAGGCAGCTTGATCCTGTGCTTACCAGGAGTCTCAAGCCACTTTTCTCCCCATACACACATTCAGTACACATGCTGGCACTGTTCAGTGATCTGCCCTTTCTGTTATAGTTTCTATTTCTCAGAAGAGAGTTCCCTGAATGTAAGTCAGTAGACCAGCACACAGACTGTGTCATACATGCACAAACACCCCAGGTACCATCTGGGCAGGTGGAGCCTCCGGCTCACACACACCTTGAACCATCATTCCCCCACCTCCATCACACTCACCTTCACAGAGTAGGCATAGGCAATGAAACCCAAGCAGCAGAAGTTCATGAAGAGTGTGTTGAACAAGGACCAGACCACATGGTCAGGTATGGAGACCTCGCTGGGCATGTTGATGGCGGTAGTCACAGTGGTGGTGCCTTGGGGTCCTCCCATCACGGACACTTCATGCTGCTCTTTGTTCATCTCTTGGCTTTGGGGAACACAAGTGTTGTGAGCCAAGAAAGACAGGGAGTGTGAAATTGTGATCTGCTGTAGCGTCTGGAGGCTGACACTGTGCAGTGGTCTGCCCTTTCTGCCGTAGTTTCTATTTCTCAGAAGAGAGTTTCCTGAATGTAAGTCAGTGAATTTTCTAGAGACCAAAGAGAGAACAAATCAGAGTTTCAAGTTATAATTATGGGTGTGTGGCATAAAAGGCCACTCCCACCAAAACTCTTTTCAACCTGACCCCCATAGTCAAGAGGAAGGAGTTAGAGGAGATGGGCAGCAGCTAGCCCTCCTGCAGATTTTCATCATCTCAGGAGTTAAGTCATGCATAACTCCAAATTTATAAGTAACACTGAGTCATCCAGAAGGGATTGCTGTAAACAGAGAAAGTTGCTGAGAGTGGGGCAGGAACGCCCTGCGCCCAGGGTTCAAGATAGCCTGACAAGGCTTAAATGTTACAGGTCACACATCAATTAAGTCCTGCTTCCCTATCCTAAAAGAGTGATCCCTGTCGTAGCCCATGCCCCTCTCCTACCTCTGTCATGTTGGTCACATATTACTTAAGCCTGGTTCCTCATGGTGTAACACCTCCTGTTCACCGAAGAACCTTAAGTGTATACCTTTACTCTCCCACACAGACCTGGGAATCCACCTCCGATTCTCACTGTATGGCTGGCGTCATTCAAGAAACTTCTACCTAAAAGTATACTCTGCCTCTGCCTCTCTTGAACCCCAAAACCTAACCATGATGAACTTCATCTTAATGCAATTTGTTGGGTGCATGCTTTAATTTAATTTAAGACTCAATGGTGCTTAAATTTAACAGTTCCAGTCTGGACCATAGTAGACCATGCTTAACATCAACATCTGGGAAAAATCACATTTGTCTGAAAGTGATTAAATGAGCCAGCAGAAATACAGAGAGAGAGAGATGCTGATCATGTCCTGTGTGTAGATGAAATATTCTATTTAGGCCAACAGACTCCTCAGGCTGAACCAGGAGGAGAGAGAGTCACATCAAGAGGCAAAGTTGCAGGCAGAGTTGTCTCGACATGTGAGACATGGTCAGCACAATCTTACAGAAATGCCTGCAGTGTCTTCAACACAAACACACGGGTTACACTCACACTGGTGTTCCAGTCAGTGTCCAGGCCCCTTTGCCAAAGAACATGCTGCCCCAGGGACACTAAACACCCATAGCCCCCAGCATCTCAGATAACAGCTGAGCGATTCCATGTCACCCTGTGAGCACTCCTGATTTCATTTATGGCCTCAGGAAGTGGGATAGTGATTGTGGTATGAGCACTAAGCTAATCTGGGTTTTCTTCTAGAAAATTAAAAAGATTTTAGAAGTTCCCTGTCACATTCCCAAAGCAGGGTAAAGATTCAAGAGAAAGGCAGTAAACTAGCAGAGAGCTCAGTTCTGGCTCTAAGCAAATATGCTTCTGGGAGAACCTGACTCAGGTCATGGGTACTATTGGTTAAGTGTATTACCGAATTGATTCAATTTGGTAGGATTTCTCTGAAGATTTCTGAAAAAAAATTCATGAGACTAGCTGTGGTATTCTTTTCATGAGATGCTTTTTTCTGGTGTCAGTATCAAGGTAATACTGGCCCTAGAAAATGAGTTGGGAAATGCTCACCCACCCTCTGTTCTTTAATTGTTTTTTGTTTTGCCGGGGGTGTTTTTGTTTTTTGAGACAGGGTCTCCCTGTAGCCCCAGCTGACGTGGAACTTGCTCTGTAGACCACACTGGCCTCACAGAGAGTAGTGTGTACCACAATGCCTAATTTTAGTTACTTTTTTAAAGAAAATATTTTATGTGTGTGAGTATATTGCCTGCATGTATATAAATGCACCCATGTCATGAATAATGCCTTTAGAGGTCAGAAGAGGGCATCAGATCCCCTGGAACTGGAGTTACAGACAGTTGTCAGCCGCCATGTGAGTGCTGGGATTCAAACCCAGGTCCTCTGCAAGACCAGTCAGTGCTCTTAACCATTGCACCATCTCTCCTGCTTGTTAGTTGCTTTTTCAAACCAAGTCTGTGCTCTGTTGATATTGTTTTAAAAATATTTGATAGGCGTCAGTGAAGAAGTCACCTGGATCTATGTCTGTGGGTTGATTGCAAGCTACTCATTCATCTCTGTCCTTGTTATAGGTTTGTTTAGATTGTTCTTCCTGAGTCAGTGTCAGCAGTTTGAGTCTGTCTTTGGGCTTGTCCACATCATTTAGGACATCTGATTTGTGGGTGAGCGGTTGTTCTTAATTTTAAATTTATTCTTAATTTTAAATTACATTTTTATCTTGTGTGTGTGTGTTTGTGTGCAGGTGCACATAGGTCATAGGTGCCAGGGCATTCATGTAGAGGTCAGATGATAACTTGTGGGAGTAGTTCTTTCCTTCCACTTTGTGGGTCCTGGGGACTGAATTAAGATCATCAGACTTGGCAGCAAGTATCTTTACCTGCTGAGCCATCTAGCAGACCCTCTTATTTATTTTTAATTTTTGTTATATTTTTATGGTCCTTTCTCTGTCAGAGTGGCTTGTAGTGATGCTTTGCTTCAATTTCTGATTTGGGTCATTTAGTCACCTCTGTTTTCTCTTGATCTATGTAGCAGGTTTGTTGTTGTTATTATTATTATTATTATTATTTTGTCTTTTTGTTGGTTGTTTTTTTGACAGTCTCCCTAGTCACAGCCCACCTAGAAGTCACAATGTGAACCAGGATGGCCTCGATCTCTCAGAGCTCCACCTGCCTCTGCTTCCCGAGGTCTGGGATCAAAGGCGCACACCATTGTGCCCGGCATCAATATTATTGTTTTAAGAACCAGCTTTTGCTTTTTTGTTCTCTAGCATTTCATGTACATTTCCAACCAATTCAAGTCCGTGTTCACCTGTCCCTGTGTACTTTCAGGTGCTGTTGGCTTCCCACAGTGTTCCTATCCCTCCTATCCTTCCTCATATTTTCTCTGTAGTCTTAGCCGTCCCTAAACTGTAACATCTAACATATGCTTATATTAATGTATTATTTTTGGAGACAGGGTCTCACTATGAAGCCCAGACTGGACTCAAATTCAATATATAGGGGAGGTTTCCTCGTATGATTTATCCTCCTGCCTCTACATCCTAAGTGCTAGAATTAGAAACATGTGATACCACACCTGGCCGTATTATTATTTTCAACAAATCCTTGACTGTTAGGTCAACTAAGACTATAAAAAGAGCTCAGAGGCTGCTAGAGAGATGGCTATTAGTTAAGAGCACTGACTGCTTCTTCAGAGGACCTGGGTTCAGTTCCCAGAACCCATATGGCAGCTAACAACTGTCTGTAACTCCAGTTCCAGGGGATCCGAACCCTCTTCTTACCTCCACAGACATTGCACGAACAGGTGAACTCATATACATTCAGGAAAAACACTCAAACATATAAAATAAATAAATTTCAAAAATTGGGGCCAGAGAGATGGCTCGGTTGTTCTTGCAGAAGACCCGAGTTTGAATCCCAGCACCCACATGGCAGCTAACAACTGTCCATAACTCCAGTCCCAAGGGCTCTGACAGCCTTTTCTGACCTCTGCGGGCATTGCACGACATGGGTGCACTTACCTGCATGCAGGCAATACACACATACACATAAAACAAAAATAATAAATTTTAAAAAATTAAAAGAGATCTTAGAGCCAGGAGTGGTGGTGCATACCTGTGCTCCCAGCACTCAGTAGACAGAGGCAGGTGGATTTCTGTGAGATCAAGGCCAACCTGCTCTACTTAGTGAGTTCCAGACCAACTGGGGCTACAGGGAGACCCTGCCTCAAAACAAAAACAAAAAACCTTCAAAGTCATATAAACAAATAAAAAGAGCTTGGCACATGTCAGGGACATATCACAAATCCAGGGCATGCTAGGCCTTGGGTTCAATTCCTGCCACAACATAAAAGAATGTATACTATAAACACAAAAAGATTATGTGAAGTTGGGCCAAGTGAGTCAGGAATATAAACCTGGCACTTGAGTGTGGAGACAGGAATCAGGGGTTGAAGGTCATCCTCTGCTACATAGGGAGTTTGAGGGCAGCTTGGGCTATGAGACACTGTCTCTAACTAAGTAACTAGCTAGCTAACTAACCAACTAACAATGACCTCACATTGTATTGATTTGTGTGTGTGTATATGTGTGTGTGTGTGTGTGTGTGTTTGCCTGCATGTATGTGAGTGCACCTATGTTGTTCAGTGCCCATGGGGGCCAGAAGAAGGTGACAGGTCCCCTGGAACTGGAGTTGCAGATGGTTGTCAGCTGCTATGTGGGTGCTGGGAACCTAGGTCCTCAGCAAAAGCAGCCAGTACACTTAACCACTGAACTATCTCTCCAGCCCATCTTTATTATTTTTTTAAAGGAAAACTTAGCAGCCTCTCCATAGTTATTTTGAACCCTAGTTTGAGAATTACATCTGTCCTAACTCTGGGTCTGTTGTTTTCTTTGTCCCTTCAGAGTTTGTTTCTTGTGACTGGGAATTGCAAGCCAGATGTACTTGCTGTATTGAACTGAAGCAGCCAAGGCAGATGGTCCTCTAGAGGGCCCAAGATTAGGCTGTTTTCTGAATGCAGGAGCTACAGTGTCAGAGGCTGAAAATTCATTAAGTCCCTGTTTTTCTCCTTGCTGGTCTGGAGTTTTCTTAGAGCTTGAGCTTTGTGATCCTCTGGCTGATCAGCTCTGTGAGAGAGCTGATGGTAGCTGGAGTATGGCAGGCATGGTGGCTGTCAGGGTGGTGATGGTGGCTCTTGTGGTGGTGAAGTGCAAGCGGGCCTACAGTGCGGTTACCATGAGTGACTTCAGTGTTTTGGGTCCCTGCATGGCTGTGACCCTCCCAAGTGCTTCTCAGCCTCTTTTCCTCCTGAGGGAGACAGGGAGGCTGACCAGACTCAGCTGAGTCAGGTCCTCACAGCAAGAAGTCTTTGGGTCAGGGGAACTGGAGCTCTGATCTATCCCTGAGCAGGTCACTGTACCCCATGCAGGAATTTTTTCTACTCTCCTCACACCTCAAAGATTCTGTTCATGCGCAGTGATGCACTCAAAGCAGATTCTACGTTTCCTGTTTTTGTGGTGTCAGTTTGCACTGTATTCAGTTTCCTGCCCCTGTCCCCCAAGCACGGCTGAGTTTCATTTTCTTCACCTCTTTCTGGCTGTGACTAGAGGTGAGTCTGACAGCTGTATATGCTCAGTGGAAAACCGGAATTTTGTGTTCATGGTGACAGTTCAGCTGCTGTACTTTTCCACTGCAGAATTTCCACT